AAGAAGCAGGAGTGTTTGGGAGCAGTGTAATATGGAAGTAATGGTGCTGTGATAGACATGCTTTGCTGGAAGCTAAAAATATTCCATTGCTTTTGCTGAGTGAAGAAAACTGAGGTTGAAATTCAGGAATAATCTCTTATTTATAGTACACTTAATTATGCTTTAATTATCTTGCTCAAGATAGTTTACAAGGACCCTGGACATACAGCAAACTTCAAGCATCAAAATGCTATAATATAAACCGTCAGCAGTATGACATTTAGGAAAAATATGTAGGGAATATCCGAGGGAAAACTGCTCTAAAATGTGCAGAAGTTCTATTGCTAAAGTTTGACAAGGATGATTCAGCATAGTAGCTCTTCAGAGATGGGAAATGCAAAGTCACCAAGAGTAATGACCTTAAAACTAGGATCTTTTATGTTCATTGAAAAACATGCAGAGGAAACATTGATTTAATGACTTATCTGAGAGACGGAACCTAAAACAATGCAGCAATACCACAGTACTACATTGGAACATCAGCCTAGACTATAAGCTAAAGTCCTAATGAGCAACTAGCCTAAATTTTCATTGATTCCCATTATGCTGGAAGCTTCATTCAGAGAAGCTTTACCATATAGGTTTTTGGAAATAGAAAACAAAAGCTCACTGCTGTGGTATTTAGAAGATGGAGACAAAGTGGACAAGACAGTTTTATTTAGTCTCTAATCCATGCTATTCCTGGAGAGAGCGGATGATCATATTCTAAAGTCAAAATTTATAATCTGTTTGTTTATCAGTGGGCGCCCCATACCACATATAGATTTTTTTTCTCTCCAACACTGAAGTCCTTCCATTGGATGAACAACAAAATCATAAAGTGCAAATGCATTTTGTGCTTTACACACACATTGTGTTCTCTGTTTTATAGCATATTTCAAAGATTAAAAGAACATACAGCACAGAAATAGCCCAACCAGTCCATGTCTTCACCGATTTCTTACTCCCTCCCACACCCTTCCTTTCCCTTTTCCCTCATGTGAAGGTCTAGCTTCCTCTTGAATCCATCTACACTATCCGATTCAACCACCATTTTAAGCAGTGAGCTTTACTCTTTGCGTGAAGTAATTCCTCCTAAAATCTCTTTTAGATCCACTAGTTGTTATTTGATATTTGTGTCCTCTGGTTATGGACTCCCTAAACAGTGGAAATAGCCTATTCATGTAAATCTTATCAAAGCTTTTTTATAATGTTAATCACTTCTAAAAGGTTTCCCTTTTCTCTAGCAAAAAAATTACTTTTAGATTCTTTGCAGCCCTATAGATGGCACTTTATTTTTTTGCCGAAGTGAATTACTTTTTTCATTTTCCTACATCAAACTTTATTTGCCATCTATCTGCCCATTCTGCTAGCCTGTTCATGACTTCTTGCATTCTTATGCAATCACCTTCACTGTTTACCATGCCACCCCGCCCATCCCGTTTTGTGTCACTTATAATAATAATAATAATAATCCTTGCATTTGATATAGCGCTTTTCACGTCGGGAGGACGTCCCAAAGCGCTTCACAGAACACACTGTAAAGTGAATTGACTGTATATTTGTGGGCAAACGCGGCAGCCAATTGCGCACAGCAATGTCCCACAAACAGTCGTAGATTGAAAATGATCAATTTATTATTTTTTGGGGGGTTTTGGAGGGATTATTATTAGGCTCTGTGTGGAGTAAGGAAACTTGCCCACGGTTTCGCCCTGACCTGCCTGGAATTGAACTCAGGTCTCTCGCTTGCAAAGCGAGTGCTCTAACCACTGAGCTACAGGACTCCAAATTGCAAATTGCAAATTTTAACACCACACTTCCTGTACCTGAATCCAATTCATTAATATATATGGTGAACAGTAGTGGTCCTAACACAGATCCCAGCGGAACACCACTTTCTACCTCTTGCCAGTCTAAGAAGATACCTTTAACTCATATCCTTTGTTTTGGGACGTCTCGAAGACATGATAAGGCACTATATCAAATGCAAGGATTATTATTATTATTTAATCCATTCTACTACCTCTTCCACAATTCCATATGCCCCTATTTGAGTCATGAACATAGGTCTGCCAAATATCACCATCAATATTAAATAGAAACTGTGAGTCTGGAAGAATCATTAACTCAGTCCTTGGCACTTGCAGTGGATTAGTATTGGTCATTTATGGAGATTATGTCATCAGAGTACCAAGTAAACATGTTATTTCCTTCAACCCAAAAGTGGGTCTAGAAAATGAGTCCGTGAATTGTAATGTAAAATTACAGACTCCAGCTTTTATTCTGACCTTTACCATTAACATTTTTTCATTGACATTGATTGATTTCCGGTGAGCAATTTTCTGCCTCGCTGAAGTAGCTAAATGCGTCTGAAATCTATTTAAATTATTATTTTTTAAAATCTCCTATTAAAAATTGATTTAATTTATAAATTGAAATGATTTGCTTTTCTACAGTTCTGATGTTCAGATATGCACCAAATTCATTGGAGTTATTTAAAACTTGGAGCACCAAAGAATAGGATGGTAGAAATATGATGCCCTACACCACAGAGTTCCCAACATCAACCATTGGATCAGCAACTCTGGGTGAAGGTCTGCAACATCTCAGAGTTTCCATCATCAATAAGCAGGTGGTTGATCCTAAGCCACGGAGACCAAATGGGGAACAAACTTATTTTTTCTGTCAAAAGATTCAGCCATGACTTTTTGTTTTTTATTTTCCCATTCCTGTCATTTTACTGGATCACATACAAGCAAAAGGATGGAGCAGTGACTTGGCACCAGCTGCCCTCAGTGCAACTCTGAACTGGCCAGTAGGGGGCAACATTTATTATAATAATACTGATAGTAATAATCCTTACATTTGATATAGCACTTTTCATGTCTTCCAGACGTCTCAAAGTGCTTCACAGTCTATACTGTAAAGTTAATTGACCATATGTTTGTGGGCGAAACGCGGCAGCCAATTGCGCACAGCAGTGTCGTGGATTGAAAATGACCAATTTATTATTGTTTTGTTTTGGAGGGATTATTATTGGATTATTATTATAACAGTTTCCAACTGTGCAGTTTGTATGTTCCACTAGACTTATACAGTTACCTTTGAGAAAATGTGTTTTACTGAGAAGCATAGACAAGCTTGATGGTTATTACTTATGTTGTTGAACATTGTGCATATTTTTTGTGTAATTGTTGTTAAGATAACTATTATTGTAAAGGTTTTAATTATAATAATCCTTGCATTTGATATAGGGCCTTATCACGAGTTCGAGACATCTCAAAGCGCTTCAAAGAATATACTATAGACTATGTTTTGTGGGCAAGGACAAACAGTGGATTGAGTGACCAAATAATTATTATGATCTGCCAATCGACTAACAACTGAGTTCCTACTTACTGATAGGTGAATAGAGGCGTATAGAGGAAGGAAATGTGCCCAAAGTTTTGCTCTGCCAGGAATCAAACCCAAGTCCTCTCGCATGGGAGGCGAGTGCGCTAATTACTAAGCTACTGGACTCCACAGTATCCTTGACATTTTATGAATGCATTTTTAAAATATTGGGATTTCAGTGAGCCTAGATTTATTTACTCCATTCTTACTGATAACCAAGATACTGTTTTTGAACATCTGTTTAAATGTATATTTTTCCTAAAATCTGTTTACATTTAATTAAAAAGCTAAAAGGTAAATTAAAATAATAAAGGGATTTGATAGGGTAGACAATGAGAAACTATTTCCTCTGGTAGGGGACATAGTCTTAAAATGTGAGCTAGGCTATTTAGGAGTGAAATTAGGAGACAGTTTTTCACCCAAAGAGTACAGGAAATCTCGAACTCTCCCCCAAAAGGCTGTGCATGCTGTATCCATTCACATCTTCAAGACTGAGGTAGATAGATATTTGTTAGGTCAGAGTATTAAGGGATATGGGGCAAGGGCAGGAAATTGGACTTCAGGTACAGATCAGCCATGATCTTACAGAATGTCAGAATAGGCTCGAAGGCTGAATGGCTTAAGACTGATTCTATTATTTCTATGTTTCTAAATAATCCACTAATTATGCACATTTAAACTTGCAGTACTTGTTTACAGTACCATCTTGTGGCAGTAGTGCAGTATTGACAATCCAATTACTGTACTCAAATTCAGCAAATTCCTGTGTGTAACATTAATGTGGTGTTTCCTCACCATCTCTTACCTGACTGAAAATATTTAATTTCCTCTCCAGTGTTCCCGTTTTCCCTGAAGGTGATGATGACTCACTGCATTACAGTTCCACAAACACTGGCAGCACTCCCATTACCTAGAACATTCTTCATACAAGCTCTTGGGTTCCGAGTATTAACAATTAATAATAATCCTTGATTTGATATTGTGCCTTATCATGTCTTTGAAACTCTCAAAGCACTTCACAGCATACATTGTAAAGTGACATGACTGTACATTTTGTGGGTATTAATCAGTGATTGATATTTGCCCATCGCAGCTGAGTGTTGTCGTATGTTCACCTAACCCAGCCTGGCAGTAACTCTGAATGAACATTGTTTCTTTATTGAGAGCGGATTCTACAAATTTCAGTGTTTTATTTTGGTAACTTCATGGCACAGCACTGTCCTGCGTGGACCTCCCTATGTATGAGGAGTCTGACTTGCAGCGTTGAGGACAATGGGAACAACTTGCACTAGATGGCCCCCTTAATGCAGAAGAGCATCTTGGAAGATTGGAGGCCATTTCTATTTCTTGATGTTTGTTTTGGATTCTTGCATGGATCTGACATAGTTCAACTGTAGTTTACCTGAATCTCTTCCATTAATCCCCTCCAGCTCCATTCCGCAAGGAACTGTCCTTTCAATTTATTGATGCATGCAATTGTCTTCATTAATTCATGCAGAAAAATGTATTGCAGATAAATGGATGTTACAAGTTAATGTTACAAATGGCATTCAAGAAACGTATTTTATTTTGTTTCCAAGAGTCGCGTGAAAATCAATGATTTATTTTTGTCAATTTCCTACAGATTTATAGCTGGGTTGCTAATCAGTGCAATCCTAAACCTTTTGAAATCAATGACATTTGTATCTGGACTCTTATAAGAGTTCAACTGCATCCCATCCAGAGTTAACAAATGAGGTAAGTGAACCAGGTCTGATTATAAAACAAGTTCTCCATTCCCTTAAATAGATTTACTACATGAAGATATTTTAAGCAGATGAGCTGTTATATCGTTTTTTTTAAAAAAAGTGACAAAGAAATGGCTTTTGATTATTTCAACAAATTGGATGAAGCATTTGTGGTCCTCTACAACAGACTGCACTTGTTAGTCCAAAAGGCAGGTTCCTGGAAAAAAAGAACATTCTTTAAGTATTGAGAGATGAAGATTAATACTAAAATATTCAGGCTCAAATTAACCAAGGATTAAAAAGAGTTGGGTTCTAACCACAATTTCCCTCAGGATTCCACTTGACAGGATCACCTCACAAGGCCTGCAGAGATTAAGGCAGCCCTACTGTCTTCCATTTTTTAAAATGATTCTAGCATCCTGTTAATTACCCTTTGTGCAAATAAATACTTCCTGGTGTTGCCCTTTAAAGTCTGAACCTGTCCTCTCTTAATAATATAATAATCATCCATGAATTTGATATAGGGCTTAATCACATTGTTGAAATGTCTTAAAGTTCTTCACAGGATTTTAGCTGTGAAGTGTAGTGACTGCGTACATGTAGGCAAATGTAGCAGCTAATTTGCACACAGCAATGTCCTACAATTCTTCACATTTGGCTCAATATGAAACAATCTGGAAGTATTGTTTTGGGTTTATTTTCCTCAATCCTAATATCTATGATGCTATACTATATACCACTATAAAATTGGCTCTGAGAACAGAGATCCATTGAAATGTATGACACAGAATAAGGCCATTCGGGCCACTGTGTTTGGCTGGTTCTTTGAAAGAGCAATCCATTCAGTCCCATTTATTTACCTTTTCCACATACTCCTGAATATTAATCCTCTTAGGTATCTATTTCATGACTGTTTGTGGGACATTGCTGTGTGCAAATTGGCTGCTATGTTCACATACAAATAAATATACAGTCACTCCACAATAAATTTTGAGATGTCCTCTCAATGTGAAATGAGCTATACCAAATGCAAGGATTATTATTTATTGCCCTGTTGAATGCTAATATAGATTCTGCCTCAACCACAGCACCCAGTAGGTTATTCTACATCCTAATTGCTTTCTGGGCAAAACAAAATCCTGCTAACCACTCCTGTTCTCCTTTGCTAATTATCTTAAGTTAATGCCCCCAAGGCACTGACTCATGAAACTGTGGAGACAGTCTTTTCCCTATGGACTATATCATTTTAAAGACTTCTATCAGGCCTCCTTTTAACCTCTCTAGTCCAATGAAAATAGGCTCAGTTCCTTTAATGTCCACTCTTAGGTCAAATCACTCATCCCTGATATCATCCCAGTAAATCTCCTCTGCACCCTCTCTATGTCTCTATGTCCACCTCACTTGTATGGCAATGAGAACATTTGTGGTGCTTGATTACCAATCTATTAATGAGCAGCATGGAGATTTATTGAATGAGATTCAGGTTCATGTGGGAACACATTACAGTACTAACCACTATATGATTTCATTCATGTATTGGCTCCTCAAACAAGATCAATTGAACAAAAATGTGCCTCACTAATTGTGGTGTATACAATAAATGTAAAATAAATAAACATGATAAGTCCTATACACAGTGAAAAAAGAACCAAAAAACTTGTGTTTGTGTTGAAATGAGCAAGTTGAAATGCGCTACGTACCGCCTGACAGAACTTTGCCATGATAATAAACAAGCGTCTGACCAGCCTTACTGTTGAGTCAAGTGTGTACTGGCAACGTCGATCAGTTAAGTTCTCCACTGCAAGCAGGTAATCACGCATTTTGGACACCATGCAGGAGTCCTGTGAATTTAGTAGCATTTGTAAATTTATTCTGAATAAAAAGTCTCAACTGCAGTACAGTATATACGTTACTCAATGATACTAGCCATTTGTGTTTTTCTAAACTGATCCAACACCACACACGTGAACTGTAGCTGAAGAAGCAGTCATTGTTTGCAGTCTTAAGTAGACTGGGGTTCTGTACGTCTAAGACTAAATGGTGGTTTGATGCACAATTTTGCAAAATTTATCAATTTACTAAAATTTATCATTTTACTGAATTAGAAAAGTAATTTAATCAGGAAATGTATAACTTTCTCCTCTCTTTGAGTTCTTCTGGCCATAAAATTGGAGAATTTACTTCTGGTCAGACGGGCTTAGATTTGAGCGCGGTGTGTAAGCTTTGGTAGAATATACTGAGAATTCAGTAACTAGCACACAGAGTCAATCATTCCCATTTAGAGCTCATTTTGGTTGAATCCAATGATTGTTTTTACCTTGCATGGAATGTGAAACTTCTGAGAAAAAACACATAAGAATTGCATTAATCTATTGTATTGGTTAAGATTAGAATGGATTAATGTTGCCTTTGGCTGCTCATTACGAGATCTGCAGCTTTGCCCCATCAGGGTTAGCAATGGATATTTGTATCTTGTCCATGACTGTCTATTTAATTGATTTCCAGGCAAATATCAATCTAAATAACCAACAGAATCAACAGTGTGTTCGGGCAGTTGGCTAGCAGAGAAAAAAACACTTTGGCATTTCCCAGGGAATGCTTAACTTCCACAAGGAAATAAATGATTGGAATACATTGATATTGTGTCAAAGATAAAAAATTAGGAGGATTTTTGGCCAAGACATTATATTTAAATTTATACGGAATTAAAGCAAAACATTTTTTACTTACATGAACATCTATGTACAAGTCAGGTAACTGTGAAGTACAGCGTTTCTAGAATGGAAAAAAAAAAGAAATCATAGAATCTTACAGTACAGAAGGAGACCATTCAGCCCATCGTGTCTCTGCCAGCTCTTTGAAAGAGCTACCAACTAGTCCCACTCCCTTTCTCTTTTCCTAAAGCCTTGCAAACTTTTCCTTTTCAGGTATATAACAACAATATAGCACCATTCATGCAGGGAAGCATCCCAGAGCACTTAATATATCCAATTCTTTTTTGAAAGCTACTATTGAATCTGCTTCCACCATCCTTTCACGCAATGCATTTCAGATCGTAACAACTCACGGTATATAAAAAATCCTCCTGGTCTCCCCTTCTGATTCTTTCGCCAATTATCTTAAATCTGTGTCCTCTGGTTACTGCCCCACCCACCAGTGGAAACAGTTTCTCCTTATTTACTTCATCAAAACCCCTCATAATTTGAATGCCACTATTAAATCTCAACCTAACTTTCTCTGCTCTCAAGAGAACAATCTAGCCTCTCTCATCTCACCACATCACTGTGAGTTTGCAGTTTGCAAAATTCTGAAACTTTTAACAAAAAAACTTAAAAACTGCAAAGGTTGGCATGAAAAACTCACTGCGAATGGCTCTGACTGCAGGCGTTCAATCTTGTTGTTTATTTTGTTTCTCATAGTCAGCACTCGAGAATAACAGGTCAACGGTGCAGAATTAACAACAATCAGGACAGAAGGCAATAGGATAAACACTGAAAGCTGAGCCATGGTCAAGTCAAGTGGAAGAACTCTTGACACCTGGGCTGCTCGTGGCATTAAATACTTTCCAATCGGATCTACTTTTGGACGAATCAAATCACAGTGCAGTGATTAATAGAATAAAACTGTTTATATTCTTTCATTTGTCTGGGAATCCGGATGTTTTTACTTAATGGTGCAGATGGTATTTTGGAAAGAGGTTGTGGATCAACAACACGCATCACATTTCCCCCAATAACATTTGCATACACATAATATTATTGAATCAGCCTTTTAGGTCTGCAGGAAGTTTTGATAATTAAAATTTTAACCAACTACTGCTGTTTAATAACAGACCTGTCATTTTATTTTCTTGGAATGGAATGTCCTTGCTGCTATCAATAGATCTCCATAAAGTTTATTTAGACATGTTCCCATTTTTAGTCCTAGTACAGCCAGGTTCTGTTTCCACATATCAAACATCAGCATGTGCCAATGAATACTTTCATTCAAGCGCAAATTCCTATAAACATTCTGCGGGACAGGATTTTTGCACCCTTCCTGCAGTCAACTGCATACCGTTGGATTTGCAGAGCGTTACAGATCTCACTGTGCACGATGCAAACCTTGAGAGAGCAGTTTGGGATGGCTTGAAGGTTCTTTTGAGTTCAAGGCAGGTTGACCTATTTAGACGATGCTGGAGCAAACATTCATGAAAGAGATTTTGTACATGCAGATACTGTATAATAATCCTTGCATTTGATATAGGGTCTTATCATGCCATCGAGACATCTTGAAGAACTTCACAGAATATATTGTAAAGTGGATTGACTGTGTATTTTTGGGCGAAACGCACCAGCCAATTACACACAGCAGTGTCCCACAAACAGTTGTGGATTGAGTAACCAAATTTATTCTTGGAGGAATTATTTCCCCTGGAAAGCAACCACCAATCAACTAACAACTAGGTGCCTACTTACTGCTAGGTAAACAGAGGCGTTTGAGTGAGGAAACTTGCCGAAGGTTTCACTCTGCCCAGGAACTGAACCCGGGTCCTCTTGCTTGCGAAGCAAATGTGCTAACCACTACACTGTGCGACTTATTATTTTTCCAGGGGATACAGAAACAGGCACGATTAAAGGGAAAATTGCTTTCAAGGAGCATCACATGCATCACCCGCAATGACATCTGTGTTTTTTCATGCAACTTGTGAAATTACCTGTACAATGTGTTTTCGCCAAAAAAATGTTTGTGCAGTACAGGGTATTTTTTTTTACCCTTTAAGCAATGAATACTGGTTTGTTTGTTGATCTGGACAATGTACAGGCCGCTGCATTTAAACTTTATCCACATCCAAAGATTTGCATGTCATATATTTCTTCCAGTCTCTGCATTTGCATATCTAAATCAGAAAGAAGTATAGTTCTTACAAGGAAACAAAAAAGATAAATGCTTGAATGGAGCAGATGACTTGGTCCAGTTGCATGTCCCTCACAGATTTACAAGGATGAACCAGATCCTTCTGCCCATTTAATCTCATGTTTCCAGAATCCCCATTACTGCCCTGTCATCACAGGTTCAAAATCCTTTTTAAATGATTCAATTCTCTTGGCCCCAACCACTGTTCCTTGTAATCTGTTCCAATCATTATTTACCCTCTGTGTAAACTATCCCATTGATGGTGGCACAGCTGCACCTCAGTACTATACTGGATCTTGCAAATGGGCCATTGAAAAGTCTTCTATTGCATGCTCAGGCGCTCTGAACACATGAGGGAGTATTGTTTGGACACATGTCTTGGCCATAAGTTTAACCAGTAATAGAATTGTGTTATAATTCAACAACGTCAAAACTACATTTGAATAGTTTCATGTTGGGAAGACGTCCCAAGGCACTGGACAATCAGTGTTTTGGACCCGAGCTGGGGGGCGGATTGGGGAGGGTGCTTGAAGACACGGTCGAAGAGGAGTTTCTTGAGACAGGTCTTGAAGGAAGCAACGGAGGGGGCGAGGTGGAGGGACTGCAAGATCGAGTTCCAGAGTGTGGGGGCAAAGAATTCAAGACCAACAAGAACAACCAGTGTGTCCTCTTCCCATTTTCAATGCTCCGGTGTCCAAGCAAAAGTTGATATCTGCAACAACCTGTTGATTTCCACCCAACAGAGATACAATTCAACAATGGATGACCCTTGTATTTTCCCATTGGTCAGAAGTCTCCTGTTAAGCCCTGAAGATCCCCAATAATGCATGGAGATGCCCAACACCATGTCTCACTGAATAGAAGACTAACTGAACAGATTAACCTCCACAGTTATTTGAAGGATGGTTATCCATTCTTACCCATTCTATTTAATGTGACATCTGGCTGTATGTAAATCGTTGCCATTCTCACATAAAACACACTACACTTCGTACTAATTAATGTAAAGGAGTTTGAAGGACTTTTGATACAAACATCTTCTTTTAGTGCATGGTCTCTAACCCCTCCCTCCATACACTGATGAACTTTTGGGCTGGTAATTACCAAGCCATTGATTGCTTTAAGAATCCTTACATTGACTTGGTGCCTGAATCATCTCACCCCACACTGTTGCCTTGAGGGAACATTGCAGGATCGATGTTTTTGTCCTTTTCAGCACTAGATGTCGCTTCACAGCACCAGTTATTTTCGAGGGTTTGTTCAGAGAATCGAGAAACCACTCGATTTCAAATAAGACTGAGAATAAGAGGTTCAGACGTGCATTTACAATCTATGGCTATTTCAATCTCACTGTTATTTTTACGAAGCATTTCAGTAGTTGAAGTGTTTACATGCACAAGCATAATTGCACAAAGTACACACATCAACACATTTCTGGTGTTTTGGTAAATGGTGACTGTAAGGCAAGAGATAACTGACCAACAGGCTTTCTCGGGATTAGACGTTCAGTTGTATATTTTTTGAAAAACCACAGCTTTGCAAATAAAGTACGTCCATTCTCTTCAACAATTACATTTTCCCATTGGAGCCTCTGTAGGGCGGTTCCCTGATCCATTACACCAGTTTCCTCGCACATCGTCACTTTCTGCCTTTCACTTTCTCATTTGTTAATGTATCCAATAATAATAATAATAATGAATAAATAATAATCCCTGTCACTTGATACGGAGATGTACCTCTATTTCTCTTTGCAGGAGAGCATCTGTGCTTCTGATATTGTTCCATTGTGTGTACTCTCTTCCTTGGATGTTTTGATTGCCTTTCCCTTCTGTTAATTCCCTCTGTGTCTCTTGTATAGGGCAGTGCTCTGGGGGTGTCTCTGATGTGTGTGTTTTTCCAATGACAATCCTGACATTACCAGAACATGGGGACAGTGGAGGGAAATGAGTAATTAGTGTATGATATCGTCTCAGAGAGAGACAGAGAGAGAGAGAGAGAGAGGAAAAATGACCTCATCGTGACATGTCAACTCCAAAACCCTGTTAGTATTCACACTCACACACACTCACGGGTTAGGGCTGGGGGGGGGGTAGGGCTGGGGAGGGGGGTTTGGGCTGGGGAGGGGGGGTTGGGCTGGGGGGCGAGGGGGGTTAGGCTGGGGGTTAGGGCTGGGGAGTGGGGTTAGGGCTTGGGGAGGGGGGGTTAGGGCTGGGGAGGGGGGGAGGGGGTATAGGCGGGCGGGGAGGGGTTAGCGGGGGGGAGGGGGGGTTAGGGCTGGGGGAGGGGGGTTAGGGCTGGGGGAGGGGGGTTAGGGCTGGGGAGGGGGGTTAGGGCTGGGGAGGGGGTTAGGGCTGGGGGAGGGGGGTTAGGGCTGGGGAGGGGGTTAGGGGCTGGGGGGAGGGGGGGGGGGTAGGGCTGGGGTTAGGGCTGGGGAGGGGGGGTTAGGGCTGGGGGAGGGGGTTAGGGCTGGGGGGTTAGGGCTGGGGAGGGGGGTTAGGGCTGGGGGAGGGGGCGGGTTAGGGCTGGGGGGGGGGGTGGGGGAGGGGGGTTAGGGCTGGGGGAGGGGTGGTTAGGGCTGGGGGAGGGGGGTTAGGGCTGGGGAGGGGGGGTTAGGGCTGGGGGAGGGGGTTAGGGTTGGGGGAGGGGGGTAGGGTGGGGAGGGTAGGGTTAGGGCGTTGGGGGGGGGGTTAGGGCTGGGGGAGGGGTGTAGGTTGGGGGGGGGGGGGGGGGTTAGGCTGTGGGAGGGGGGTTAGTGGTTGGGGGGGGGTTAGGGCTGGGGGAGGGGTTAGTGGGGGGGGGTTAGGGCTGGGTTAGGGCTGGGGGAGGGGGGGGATTGGGGTGACCCACCTCCTGCACCTGTCACCTGGGGCTGAATGCACACAGTGAGTGAGCGATGGTTGTTGGTAGCGTTTGATATCTGTACCTGAATCCTGTCTCAATCGCTCAAAGTGACTGAGAAACCCACAGCACATCGGAGCAGCGGAGAATGGGAGCGATTCACTCCAACAAAACGCCGATTTTTGATGCCAACGAGGATGGTAGGAACACTTACTGACCTGAACATCCAGTCTGGTTGCTTTTGTTTCGATTAACGTAATGTGTGTATGACACTTAAATTTTAAAAAAAAGTTGGATTATCCAAAGCTTATTCCCTAATAATAATAATAATATTAATAATAATAATAATAAGGTTATTATTGAATAATAATAAATTATTATGCCCTTTGGTCTGACTGTTACATTTTAATTTGAAAGAAGAAAAAGCTTTTTATTGGGAAAGAACCAAATGATGTTAAACTTTCTCATCTCACCGTGGGTTTGGTGACTGGGAGGTGAAGCCTTTGATGTGCAGAGCGAGTGGATCAGACCGGTTGCACAGACGAGAGAGGTAATCAGTGATCGCCACGATTTCTTGTGCAACTTTCCATCAAAAAGATCAATTCATCTCAGAAAGAGATCTGAGGAACATTGCACTCACATTGCACTCACATTGCACCATTCCTTCCCACTATCTCTGCGGGTCCTGTGGTCCTGTGACAGTATCTGCAGAAAAGTCATTGTTTTTTTTAAAATCTGCAGAATAAAGTCTGTAGCTTTGCTCTGTCGGGTTAGAGCTTTGCTCTGTCTCTCTCTCTCTCTCTCTCCCACCCAACATTTTCGGCTTTGGGGGTTGAGTTAAAACTGTTGTTGTCAACGGTGATGTTTTGGGGCCGTTTTTAAAAAAAAAAATGTTCTTAAACCTTGAAGCAAACTTTGAGTTACAAGAGGAGAAAGATTTTGTGGGATGTTTTGTTCATTTTATCGTTTTGAGTGGGAAAGGGTTTAATTAAACGATGCTCATTCACCCCATCTACAGTCTCAGAGCAGAGCTTCTCCCAAACCCAACACATCACCCAACCCGACCGACTGACTGACTGACTCCTTAAACAACCTGTGTCCATCCACTCGGTGTCTCTCCAACCAAACACGTTCTCTGGACCATTGAGCTTATACCCTTTAATGATTGCATTGGATGGCTAAGAGCTATCTCACTCCGGCTGCCTGTGCAGCACATGAGAGAATAATACAACAGATAGAGAGAGAGGGGGAGGGTGGGAGGAAGAGACTGAGCAAAGGAACAAAGAGAAGGTATAATATGTATAAAAACCTCCAAACTGGCAATAACCATGTATCTGGGTCTCCAGCTCGCACACAATTGACCCATTCTTGTGCTCCTATTCATTGGTGCTGCACTTACAGCCTTTAAGCGGTGAGACCAGCTCCCTGTCCACACTGTGTTGATGCTGAGGAAGCCATATATTCATTCTATACCCTGAATTACTGGGGAGAGATGAGGTGCAGTACAGGGTGCTGAGTGAGGTGAGGAACACAATAGTTAAATCCCTTCTTGAAGGTTTATGCCCCGAAGCTTTGGAACTCTCTCCCGAAACCTCTCCACCTTCCCCCTGTCTTCCCCTCTTTTAAATCATAACCCTACTCTTCGACCATACTTACGGTCACCTCCTCCCTCCCCCCAGCTCGGTGTCAGGCTCTGCCACTCTTAAGCGCTCCAAGTCGCTGCCCCGCGTGAAAGGAGCTATATAAATGTAAGTTGTTGTTGTCCGCATTATACTATGGGAAAGAAGGTTTGCACAGTGTAATTGGGTGCTCTAAAATGTTCATAGAACTGTAATAATTTCAACTGAAACAAAATTAATATTTAAAGTGTGAGAGTACTTGTTTCATATATATATGATATAAACTCAAAATAATTACTGTCAAGTGTGTGGTGTAAAATTAGCAATTACACTAACTCACTTTTCTGTATTGTTTAACAGCTGGCGCTTTGATCTGTGTGCTGACATAAACCAGATTAAACATATCATAATAATCTTTTAGGGCAAATTAATATTATAAAAGGTTTGCTTACTTGCTTGGTAATTTTTAGCACCTGCCCAACATGTAGTTGATTCAGTAGTTGGCTTATGTATCTTTTCCAGAGGCATTTACATTGTCATTTCAGTGAGAGGGAAAGGATAAGAATTGGTTTGTTTATGTACCTGTTTTCTCCATTGACTCTCTCTTGAAGGCAACAATTCCTGTTAGAGTGCGGAGTGTTGAACCAGCACCATTTCACGCCCCATCGTTTTGTGCCACAACACATTGGCATTGGGCTGTTTTATGTTCAATTTGTCTTAAGTGCCCACAAAACACACTTTAACATGTATCCTATGAAACATGTGGCAATGTTCTCCTGATGTGAAAGGAGTATGCAAATGCAAGGATTATTATTATTACTACTAATAAAATACTTTTAATTACAAGTGTTGCTCTTAGTTGAGCTCAGAAAATGTATTCCTTTCTTTTCTTACCTAAAGTACTGTCACAATACACTCATCACTCAGGTAACCAAGGTGACTTCGTGCATCACTGATTAGTTAGAGCAACTTCTTTTAATTCATTCTTCATTTTACATCATAATTGCATTTGATATTATGTTTGCAAGAGCTGTACCAATTGAAACAATTTAATGTGAACAAGATCATCAGAGTATATATGATCAATTGGTCTTAGAATGTTAAACACAAAGAAGACTATTCATCCCTTTATTGTTTTGCCTCTTCAAACATCTATCTCATTTTTCTTCAATTGCAAGTTGTGTGCGAGAGCACCACATTCCAAATGCCTTGAGTGTAAAGGTAAATTGAAAAGTTGTAATCTGTTATTCGTTTGTGTGCTGGATTTCAAATAACAAACTTCACTGAAGACAGATTTTATCCAAATCTCATGCTGAAATGTAATCAGACTCATTAATAGTCATCATTCCCCACAGATAGACCCATCTGTAGCTTGAAATCACTCTCACTATTTTCACTGGAATGTTGCTAACGTAGCCAAGTACATTTCTTTCCACAGTGAATCTATTAGGCCTCACAGACTTACTAAGACTTTTAATTAACTTTCAACATGAGCGATAAATCTGTTTGCACCTTGTTTCAACATAATCACTTTTCCCTTGTCTCTTGAGTTCAACTTACCAAAAGAAACAATTTATTTTCCTGGCAAGTTATTTTCTACTCTCTGTGTGTATATTTGTGTGTCTGTATGCGCAATTCAGATAAAATACAAAATAAGAACATTTCATTTGAAAACTCAATGTGGTCTTTTGACTATTTTCTCCCTACTCTTCCTGAATGAAGGAATTTGACTTTTCCCTTCGCCTGTTAAATAGATCTATATGGGAGTACAGTGCTAGACAGTAGAGACCTGAGTAGAATGAAAATAAATGTTAACATCCGCTTTGTATATTCTGTTTATTGCTGTTGCTATGTACTTCCTACTCATCTGGAATTCTGCCTCTGAAGAGATTGATAGTGCAGGGGATGGGAATTAACATTTCTGCCTGCAATCGCTGGAAGACCCCTGGGTTAATAGCTGTCTCATGTCGGCTATGCATGTTAATTCAGCTCGTTCACCCTGTCAGATTCAATATCTCTTCCAGACCTAAAATTATCACCAGCTTTTGGACAGGAAATTAACTAAGGGAAACAAAGAATAAACTAAAAGTTCATTGACCTGACTTCCTTCTCATGATCTGTATTGAAACAAAGAATATATGTGCTCTCTTCTGGGTCTTTGGTAGCAGATATTTTGTGCAGGACTTTGAGTTCAGGAGTAAAATAACAACAACAAGAACAAATTACATTTGTATAGCATTTTTCATGTCAGGACGACAACTATAATATCCGGCTGTTCCAGCAGAACAAGCAGGTTTGTTCTCAAAGCTCAAAGGGATTTCAGCTTTAAATCTAATCCAAAGAGCAGCACCATCATCAAAGTAGCACTCTCCCATTACTGCACTGGAATGCCACCCTTGATCAACATTTCTCTCCCTGTAATGGGGCTTGAACATACAACCTAACTCAAAGGTTTGATGCCTGCCAATTAAACCAAACTGACACTCATAATTAGAAGCTAATATGAATACGTAACACACCATCTGTTGTGTGGTTGAGTCCACTACAAAAAAGTGGTTGAGCGAAATAACAATAATAATACTTGCATTTGATATAGCGCCTTATCAAAGTGCTTCACAGAATATACTGTAAAGTGAATTGACTGCACATTTTGTGGTTGAAATAGTGAAGCTTGTGAAGTTTATCGACATTATCTTAACCCCAAGCTGTTCATCTATGTAAGGTAAGGACAGAAAGAAATGCCATAAGAACTGAGGTAATCTGTGAAAAGGAAAGCATGAAGCAATATTGGAAAGACAGAAATCAACAACAACAATAAAATTACATTTGTATAGTGCCTTTCACGTTGGAAGGACTTCCCAAGGCGCTGGACATTCAGTGATTCAGACACTAAAATTACATTTGAAATCTAGCACAAGAGGTTGTGATATTAATAACAGAGAAAAGGACCTGACTATGAATAATCTATGCTGAGAAGTGGAGTGCTTTGGACCAGATCCTAAGGGTAATTGAGGTTAAGCAGCTGATATGTTTAGTTATAAGGGAAAATCTATAAACTGTTTCTTAAGAGTAATGTGATTACTGTACTGTAGTTATAAATTGTAAATCTCAAGCCTTACACATTGTAAGGCTATGGATGTGCACTGATAATTCAATATAACTAAAGCAGCATCTGCAATCAACTTACGAAATGCTAATGCTAATGAGGGTGTGAGATGAGGGAAGCTTGTGCAGTTAGTTTATCAACTTTCCTGATTCAAGCTCATGGAATCTGTGTAGTTGCTTGCTATTTTGTATAACCCTTAACTCTCATTTAGCCTTTCATCTGCTTTCTGACCATATCCACTTCCGCCAGCTCCATGACCACCTCCCCCACTAGCTCCTTCCAATGCGGCCGAAACCTTGTCTTTTTGTCTTTGTCATGTCCAGATTTCATTTCTCGGATGCCCCTCTTACTTGTCTCCCCAACTCTGCCCTCCACAAGCTTCAGATCATCCAGAATTCCCAGCTCACATTCTCTCCACAAGCTCATTCACTCTAATCTTCTTGCTTCCCCCTTCCTCCAGCAGATGAACTTTAAA